TGTTCAGTCTTTCACTGAGAAAGTATGTTTTCCCTCTTACAAAAAAGGATTATGAGAAAGTGGGAGAGGTAGACAGATCTCATTTAGGAAATGCGTACATAGGGTTAACCTGCAAATATGGAATATGTGTGTGTGTGTGGTAATTTTTCTGAGTCAGGGATACAGAAAAACTTGTCCTACTTAAGAATTCACCTGCTGCTATATTTCTTTGAAGAACTTGCTTTACTATTACATGCACAGTTCCTGTAAATTGCTAAATTTATGTAAAGATTGACTACAAGGAGTGATTTCCTCAGTCTTCTGATATCAAGCAAGAACTCTGTTTCACAGAACACATATGTAGCTAGATGTTGCAGGTTTTCTTGCTGAAGACTTGGATGGATGAAAAGAAATTAGGAAAGAGTTTGAAGTTCTGAATTGCAAAGAATTTGGAGACTGAAGACTGAGGTAAGGTTTTTTTGTTTGTTTGTCTTTTGTTTTTAACTCGACAGAGGTAATTTTTCTTTACTTTTCTGGACAGAATGAATATCAAATCAAATGAGGCAATGCAAGTGAAAGGACTTTATAAACAGCAATGTTGTACATGAAGGTAAGACATACACAACAATTTATTTTTATGTTTAAAGGGGAATTAGTCACCATTTTAATTAAGATGAGAAATCTACTCTCTTAAGGAATCCTTCCCAATGCTTGATCATTTTGAGTTGAGTCCTCAACTGCCCTCACTGACTTCACAAACAAACAAAGTACATTCCTGCATTTTCTTTTTCCAGTAGGATACTATACTTTGAGGAATTTATCGAAACACAATAGATTTAGCAGGACTGAATTTGTGGGAATGAGTCTGCACAAGTTTTCCCCCTAAAATCAGAGCACAAATCTTTCATTTTTCAGTGGACTACTCTTTCCTAAAATATATCGATTTCTTTTAATAGTTCTAAGGCTTTAAATTTTTGTTTTATGGAGAAGAGGTTATGCTACCTTTTAAAGATGTTAATTCAAGTATAACACACGGCATTGTTCACATGGAGAAGTTTTGAACCCTCCTCCTGAGCAGAAATATGAAGGAAACCCTTGAAAGTAAAATAGATTGATATACTGTTTATATCTAGGCCTCCATTTATTTATAGTTTAAAAATCATTGGGGAAATCGTGATCATCAATTCATACAGAAAACTGTAAGATCCACTTCTTCTGGCTAGATACTACGAAGAGTCTGATTCAAATGGTTCACACAAAGCAAAAATGTCCCATAGGTGCAGAATTCTTTCTGGCAACAAACCTTCAGTGTAAACAAGAAGACTCTTGGGCTGCCTGTAAATTTTGGAAATGAATGATACTTATTGCCTTGACCTCAGGCATTTGACTTTGAGACAAGAGTATGAATGATTAGTAAAAGTTTTGATTTTAAGTTCAATGTAAAGGTTATTTGCCATTACCAAAAAAGAACATTTGTGTGAGTGTGTGAGCTACAGTAGTTATTAAAAGAATATAAAAGGCATATGCTGTTTAGTATCCAGAATAGAAGATCTAAAATTATATGACTGTAAAGAACTTGACAGTTATATCATTATTACTGAAAAAGAGAACTAAAAATTCCAGCATTATGCTATGATTGATACTGCACAACGAGAATATTAAACAGCTTTCCCAATGTTGTAATAATGTAGTTTACTCCCCCAAAATAAGGAAAAAAGGCCAGTGAAAGTTTTCAGCAGAACTGATGAATAAACTTTATGATAAAAATTTAATGTGTATCTAATTTCCAGTGGAAACAAATGCATGTAGAATTAAGTGAAGTAGTAGGAAAATCAACAGTAGATACACCATAAAATCAAAATCTTAGTAATTACAAATAATAACTATTATTATCATTTTTAAAAAGAGGCCTGATTTCCTCTGGTAAGAGGAGAAACTATGCAGTTAGCAATTAGCAAACTGAGAAAGAATATATATATATATATATATACACACACACATATAGGAGGATGACAGAGGATGTGATGGTGGGATGGCATCACCAACTCAATGGTCATGAGTTTGAGTAAGCTCCACAAGTTGGTGATGGACAAGGAAGCCTGGCATGCTGCAATCTATGGGACTGCAAAGAGTTGGACACTACTGAGCACCCTTATGGCAGAAAGTGAAGAGGAACTAAAAAACCTCTTGATGAAAGTGAAGGAGGAGAGTGAAAAAGTTGGCTTAAAGCTCAACACTCAGAAAACTAAGATCATGGCATCTCGTCCCATCACTTCATGGGAAATAGAGGGGGAAATAGTGGAAACAGTGTCAGACTTTATTTTGGAGGGCTCCAAAATCACTGCAGATGGTGATTGCAGCCATGAAATTAAAAGACACTTACTCCTTGGAAGGAAAGTTATGGCCAACCTAGATAGTATATTAAAAAGCAGAGACATTACTTTGCCAACAAAGGTCCATCTAGTCAAGGCTATGGTTTTTCCAGTGGTCATGTATGGATGTGAGAGTTGGACTGTGAAGAAAGCTGAGCACCGAAAAATTGATGCTTTTGAACTGTGGTGTTGGAGAAGACTCTTGAGAGTCCCTTGGACTGCAAGGAGATCCAACCAGTCCATCCTAAAGGAGATCAGTCCTGGGTGTTCATTGGAAGGACTGATGCTGAAGCTGAAACTCCAATACTTTGGCCACCTGATGGAAGAGTTGACTCATTGGAAAAGACCCTGATGCTTGGAGGGATTGGGGGCAGGAGGAGAAGGGGGCGACAGAGGATGAGATGGCTGGATGGCATCACCGACTTGATGGATATGAGTTTGAGTAAACTCCGGGAGTTGGTGATGGACGGGGAGGCCTGGCGTGCTGCGATTCATGGGGTCACAAAGAGTTGGACACGACTGAGCGACTGAACTGAACTGAGCAACTGAACTGAACTGAACTGATATATATATATACATATATATGTATGTATGTATTTGAAGGGGAGTATGTGTGTGGTAATGTGCAAGTTCATATCTTTAACATCTATTTAAAACCTGATTAAGGCATATCTCTGAATCAATTTGAGGGCATTTTCCCCAAATGTAAAAGGAATCTTCAGACAGCATTTATATTTATTTGGGTTCTCATAAACAAATGGGAAGATTTAGAATTAAAAGCAAATTGAGGTTGTGTTGTAGCAAGGGGTTTTTGTTTTACCTGTTAGTTTTAAAATAGACACAATCCAGAAACCTATCTGCCTTTACCTTGGAAGAACCTTTGAAAGAAAAACTGCTTTTGCTTTTGTGTCTCTACAGAGCGAAAACCAGAACCTGTCAACTTCTCTTTCCAGGGAAGGGGAATGGTGGGGAGCGTGCTCAGGTGCTTTGCTGCAGAGGGAAGCACAGCCAGGGACCCTTACTTGCCCATCTCAGTGTTAGAACAAGTCCCAGGCTTTCCTGGAGCTAAAGCAAGCACAATGGGGAGAGGCACTAAGCGCCACTGTTCTTTTGCCAGGAGGCAGGCTTTGGAATGGGGCTTCCCTGGTAGCTCAGTCGGTACAGAATCCACCTGCAACGAGGGAAACCTCCGTTCGCCCCCTGGGTTGGGAAGATCCCCTGGAGGAGGGCATAGTAACCCACTCCAGTATTCTTGCCTGGAGAATCCCCATGGACAGAGGAGCCTGGCAGGCTACACAGTCCATGGGGTCGCAAAGAGTTGGACACGACCGAGAGACAAAGCATAGCGCAGCCCAAGCTTTGGAATGGAGCAGCTCCACAGCAAACCTGGGAGGCTGTTCTTAGGCTTTGAAAAGTCTTTGTCTCACTCCCCTTGGCTTCCCGAGCAGCATTTGCAGCCTACCCCGAACAGATCGCATATTTGGAGCAAAGCGCCAGGAGAATGAAGGGTAGTGTCATTGCCCGGCTCCTAGGTGCTGGAGCCCGTGGAGGGACTGCGCCTGCAACCGCGGCTGCAGGTGGCCAGCGGAGCTGTCCAGCACCAGCACAGAGGCGGGGGGCCAGGAGCCAGGGCTCGCCCAGCCAGGTCGATGCTCGGCAACAGGGCTCTTGCCCAAGCAGACGCTGTCCTCATTCACTGCCTCTCGGCTCTGGGCTATCTACAAGCCCACGCAGCCTCGGCCGAGGAGGGGAACACCCGTCCTCACCAGCTGCTGCTCCAGCAGGGTGGGTGGGCCCTCCCCTTCCCTTGTAAGCGACTCCTCGGGCATGGGCGGGCTGGACCCCTCGGCCTTTCCCCCTTGGCCTCAGGACTTCCCACATGAACTCGGAGGGAAAGATCGATGATTGACTCTAAATGATGGACCCCAGTCCCACGCCCTCAGGCTTCCCCGAGGCGGCTGCAGAGGCAGGTGTTCAGTCCCGGCCGGGTGCCCCCCTGTCTCAGGGCCCCCGGGGCCCCGTCTGCTCCTCAGCTGCCTCTTCCGCGAAGAGGTGGGGACGGCGGGAGCTAGGGTGGCGCTCAGAGGACGGCGCCGAAGTGTCCCCGTTGCTCCCGAAACGTGGCGACAGCACAGAGGCAGAGACTTCCAGTGGGTGCGAAGGCGACACGTGACGGCTGCGGAGAGACGGCGCGGAGGAGGGGGCGCGCGGAGGCCGGAGGCGGGCGGCTAGGCGAGGGGAGGCGGGAGGGAAGGGCGGGCGGGCGGAGCAGGGGCACCAGGGGCGAGCTGGGCGCGCGGGCGGCGCGAGCCTCTGCCTCCGCGGCCGCGCGGCCGCCGCCTCCCCGCCCGGCCGCCCCCGGGCTCGCAGCCTCCCCACGAGTCGGAGAGCGACCGCGGAGACGCGTCCAGGAGCGCGCCGAGGCGGCAGCGGCCGGCGAACGCGGGCCCAGGGCAGCGCGGCGCTGCAAGTTCCCGCCATGAGCAGGCGGCTCCCGAGGCTCCGCGGCTCCGGGGCCGCGCTCCGGGCCAGGCAGCCCTGCCCCATCGCCCCGCGGCCGCAGCGTCCCTAACGCCGCCGGTGCAGCCGCCGCCGCCGCCGCCCGATCCCCGCCGCCGCTGCCGCCTCGGCCGCCGCAGCGCCGACAGCATGTCTCGGAGGAAGATTTCGTCCGAGTCCTTCAGCTCCCTGGGCTCCGACTATCTGGAGACCAGCCCCGAGGAGGAGGCAGAGTGCCCGTTGTCCAGGCTCTGCTGGAACGGCGGCCGCAGCGCGCCCGGGCCGTTCGAGCCCAGCGCGGCGCTCGTCTCCGCCCGAGCCCCGGCGGCCGGCGCAGCAGCAGCCGCCGCAGTCAGCGCCGCCACGGCCGGGGCCAGGAGAGCGCAGCGCCGCAGGCGGGTCAACCTGGACTCGCTGGGCGAGAGCATCAGCCGTCTGACGGCGCCCTCGGTGAGTAGAGACGGGGGCAGGGCCGAGCCTCGGGAGGAAGGACGCGGACCGGGCAGGTGGGCGCCAGGCTCGTCCCGCCGCGTGCCAAGAGCCCCGCCGCCGGGGGGTGGCGGGGCCTACCCCGGCCTAGTTCCCGATGACCCCCGGGAAAGACCTGGACTTCGGGCCCTGGTGGAAGGGGGCACTGGGATACGGGCATGGAGTGAGACTTCACTCCTCCGGGGGGGGGGGGGGGCTCCTGATTCAAAGGTCTGTCTGCCCACCTTCAGCATTTGCAACCTCCTTCGTCGCAGTCACCCTGACGGCTCGACGGCTCCTTCTCACCCACCTGTTTTCTTTCCCCCAAACTTTCCCAGGCACTGTCTCCTCTCTTCTCCAGCATCCCACAGGAACCCCTACTCCCAGGAAACTCTTCCCCTCTTACCGCCCCCCCCCCCCCACCTCTTGCTCTTAGTATGACCTTCTCTGACATCTTTGAATTCTGCAAGCTAACTGCCTTCATATGTTGCATTCCTTTTCTCAGTCTTTAGGGACCGGTTGTCAGATAATTTTTTGAGTTGTCTTTTGATGAAGAGCTCTCTCATCTCTTGTTTTCTCACCACCTAATGTGTTTTTTTCTTGGTCACTGGTCATTTATTGGCTCTATCTTCTTCTGTGGGTAACCCAGGTATTTGGTTTTCTAAACCTCTCTTCTGTTTCTCGCGCCCCTACCTCATCCTTCACTCTCTGTCCGCTGGATTCTTTAGTGCATTCTCCCTCAGTTTTTTCAGTCTCCTTATCTTAGGCCCCGAGTAACTATCTGTTGAATGAATAAATGCCTGCCTAGCTCTAACTTGTGCTCGTTAGGGATGGCTGTGTCATCAGTTCCAGGTGTACTCCAGATTCCCTATGATTCTTGGCATCTTTCCAGAGCACTCTGCCTCCTTCCTGGTCAAGTATTTCAGCTTCTCTTGACTTTTAATTTTTACAGTAATGCCAGAGTTCTGTTTCAGTCTTTCTCAGACTGTGTGAGCTCTGTTTTGAAGGAACTCCATTGCAGACAGAATCCTAAAGAGATTCACTGTTAAACCAAAGCTGCTTTTTATTTGCACCTTGATTGGTTACAAGGATTTCAACTTCGGAAAGCACTTTTAGCTACCCGTCTCAGACTTTTACTTCTTTAAAGTTTTCAAAGTGAATCTGAACAGTGATCTTGTTTGCCTACTCTTGAGTCTCCCTTTTGAAAGTGTTCTTGCAGTTGATGGCGGGAGGGCCTTGAGAAAGAATTGGATCCAGAGAGACTGGGTACTTGTACCAGGCAGTCCTACAAATAGCCTGGGGCTGTTGCCTTAATGGAGTATGGCCTTTTCCTTTGGCAATGAGACTGCTGTTTCAGTCATCTTCCTTTCTTGTGCATTTTCCCTTCAAATACCTTTTTGCCACGTCTTCCATTGATAACCTAGGCACAAAACTCAAAATAGGTTAGCTACTGTTTGCTATTATTAATGCAAATATTTCCCAGGAAGCACACTTTTAGGAACTATTTGATTTTGCAAATTGTTGAACTTAAGCCTTTATAAAAGGAGTCCAGTAATCCTGTGCATATGGAGTTTTGTGTCAGTGCCCAAAGCAACATTTGTGCAATATACTAACTCTTCATTGTAACAGATTCATATCTAATATGATAATTTTACTAAAGATAAATATTAGATTTTTGTGGGAATTGTTTTTATAATTCTGGAAGGTTTTTTTTTTTTCCTAAAAATCAAAATTTACAAATTTTTCAAAAGTTGTGGCAGTGCCTTTGGTAATGCCAATTTAACATAAGACTACTCTCAGTGACTTACATTAGAAATAGAAAAAATAAATTGAATGCTACTATTTATTGCCAAAATAAGAGGGAAGAAACAGTCTCTGACTTTTACCTTTTATAAATATAAAATTTGAATGACTTTGGCTCTTTGCCAGATTAAAAAAAAATGTAATCAGGTGTTTAGATAAGAAATTTGAAAATAATTGTGATAATCAGAAATAAGCAACAGCTGTATGTACTTTCCATTCTGTAATTCTTTTCTGTTTTGAAAAAGCTTTTTCACCTGTAATGCTGAAAACATACAGGTGAATATAGTGTAACAATTCCAACTTCCTGAGACATGTATGAACCAGTTCTCATTGACTCACCATATCAACAGTGGACTTGGTAACACAGAACAGTATATTTTAAAGCAGTGACTATTCTGTGTTCTCTACCCCCATTTTCTTTTGTTTGGCAAACTAGAACACTACTTCAAAAAATTACTGTAAATTTGTTCTCCTACGTTGTCAGCATTCTAAACTCCTCTGGAAACACTTATGTCCTATCCAGTGTCCTTTCATTAGAGCTGAACAACTTAAAAACGAATGAACAAGCAAAAGAACCCAAACCCAAAAAACTGAGAATAGCCATTATCAGAGCATTCTTAGATGGAAATTTCTAATTATTTTGAGTTTTGCAAACCTTGCATTGCTATGGAAGCTCTTGTCTTCATAGTGGTCTCATTGTGGAATGTTGTCTTGATCACTGGATATTTCTTTCTTTTTTATGCAGAATAATTTGCAAGTAGGGAAATGGAAATACATTTAATAAATACTATGATATTGCCAAGTAATTCAGCTAGTAATTTCGTCAATGGAATATTCAAACTCAGGTTTTTGACATTTTAAGAGATATTAATAGCTGCATTGATGTTAGCTATACGGGTTATAATGCTTCATAACATTTTAATAATAAAAGTAAATTGAACTGATGAAATTGACAAAAAAATCCAGAATTCGGGACACCTGGTTCTCATTCACTGTGCCTTGTATAACTAAATACATATATATCACTGTGTATATCACTTTTACTATCTAGGATCATTCTTTTCTGTAAATTATTACATTTAAAGCCTCTCCCTGTTCTGGCATTCTATGAAGACAGGTATCGTCATGCTTTCAGTGTTATTCAGTCAGTCAGTCACTCAGTCATGTCTGACACTTTGTAACCTCATAGACTGCAGCACACCAGGCTTCCCTGTCCTTCATTATCGCCTAGAGCTTGTCAAACTCATGTCCATTGAATCAGAGATGCCATCCAACAATTTCATCCTCTGTCGTCCCCTTCTCCTCCTGCCTTCAGTCTTTCCCAGCATCCAGGTCTTTGCCAATGAGTTGGCTCTTCCCATCAGGTGGCCAAAGTATTGGAGCTTCAGCTTCAGTATCAGTCCTTCCAATGAATATTCAGGGTTGATTTCCTTTAGGATTGACTGGTTTGATCTCCTTGCAGTTCAATGGACTCTCGAGAGTTTTCTCCAACACCAGTTAGAAAACAATTCTTTGGGGTTCAGCCCTCTTTATGGTCCAACTTTCACATCCATACATGACTCCAACCATAGCTTTGACTATATGGGCCTTTGTTGGCAAAGTAATGTCTCTGCTTTTTTAATATGCTGTCTACGATTTTCATGGCTTTTCTTACAAGGAGTAAGCAGTCTCCATCTGCAGTTATTTTGGAGCCCAAGAAAATAAAGTCTGTCACTGTTTCCATTTTTTGCCCATCTATTAGCCATGAGGTGATGGGCCTGGATGCCATGATCTTTGTTTTTTGAATGTTAAGTTTTAAGCCAGCTTTTTCACTCTCTTCTTTCACCTTCATCAAGAGGCCCTTTAGGTCCTCTTCACTTTCTGCCATTAGGGTGGTGTCATCTGCATATCTGAGGTTATTGGTATTTCTCTTGGCAATCTTGATTCTAGCTTGAGCTTCATCTAGCCCAGCATTTTGGGTGTAAGTTAAATAAGTTTTAAGTTAAATAAGCATGTAAGTTAAATAAGTTTTCAATAAACTCTCACAGTGGCATATGAAATAAAAAGCAAGGACATATGAGTTTTAAAACTGAGGAAAGTAGATTATTTTCTCAAGTAGAGGCATCAAAGTACTATTTTTTCCAATTAGTTATTAAAAAATATTTGAGGGTCTGCTATGTGGCAAGTATTATGCAAAGCGTTGGTGATACAATTGCCAAATAAAACTTTCCCATTCTTCAACCTCATTAAACTTTAATTATAGCTTTTATTCTAAGTAAACTGTATTGAGGGAAAATATAAGAACTCCAATTGCTGCGGAAATATTTAGGGGAAGTTTTATCCTCCACTTTGGTTGGTTTTATTCACTGTAGATCTCTGGGGTGCAGCCATAAAGAGAAAAATAATCCTTAAGATCTGGTATAAATCACTTATTATGTTATTTATTTTGCGATAATTTACTTGGGAACACATACAAAGAAACAGCTGGGACTTTTTGCATCAAGGGTAAATTTGGGATCTCATTTTATTTTCATTTTATTTTTATGAATGATGATTGCTTAGACACCTATCACTTTGACCTCAGTTTTGGGTTTGCTAATGTCAGCCTACCAGTGAAGATACTCAGAAATCACCTGGGGGCACGGCTTTCTTAGGTCTCTTGTCTGAGCACTACTAGCTGTTAAAACATTTGTTTGTATGCTCAGTTGCTCAGTCATGTCCAACTCTTTGTGACCCCAAGGACTGTAGCCCTCCAGGCACATTACAGGTGGCTTTGAAGACTTCCGAAGCTATAGATAGCAGAATGACAGGAAGAAAAGTAACAGAATTGCACGGATGGCATGTAAGGGGAGGAAAGCTACTTACATAAGGATTAGTCCAAGAAGTAAAGAACAGCGAGGAAAGAAAGAGGAAGGGAAGCTTGAATTTAAGTAGCAAAAAAGCAAAATTGTTTTTGGAAAGGAAATTTTATTGATATATGCCAATGAAAAATTGAAAGAGCATAAAAAATACATATTTAGCCTCTCACTAAATAAAATGAACTCTGTGATGTATAAGGCCTTAAATAAAACCTTAGAAGTTGTAAGTGTAACTAACATGTAAATCATGAAAAGTATATAAAATATATTTGTGAGTTAAGATATTTGACACATTTATGTGTTTTAATTGGAATTTTAAGATTTTGAAGTTAATATGGGTTG